GGCCAGGGCCTCTCGGGGGGGGGGCCCAGATGGGGCCCAGGTGCCAGCCGGGAGCAGCAGCATCTGCCCACAGGGCGCTGGGAGCTCTGCTCTCAGGACTGTGCCGGGCTGCCCGGCTCTGGCTCTCTGAGGGGAGGACAATTTCCAGATTGAGTCTGAACAAAAATAGCTGGATTAGGCATTTACCCCAAGTCTATTTTATCAAAGGGCTTGTCATCGCTGGAGATATTCTTTGAATTGTTATACATTTCTGTCTGTTGTTTATTTTTGTTGTTGTTTTTTTTAAATCTAAACACAACATTTAAGCAAAAGAAGTGCTTAAACATTTGCAAACCAAAACAATAACAATATGTTGATTAACAATATTTACAATGAATAATTAAAAGAGGATTAGGTTTGTGTCTGTGGTTTGTGGGGATGTGATGTGAGACTACGTAAATGTACACGCCTGTCCGTCTTTCCCCTGTTGATGGTCTTGCAGTGCCATGATTCCGTCTGTTTATTAGCTGTCATTCTGTGTCAAAGAAAAGCTACCACTTTCTCCTCCATTTATCTACTTACTACACTGTGGGGACTCAAGGGTATTTATTTTATTCTGTGGGTGATAACCCGTTATTGTCATTTACGCTCAAATTGTTGCAGATTTGGCCAGTTGGGAGTCTCTACAACCTTCCATTTCTGACACGTACCCATGGCTCTTTGACCAACTTCTTACTTTCTGGCGAGATAAGATGTTCCAGGCTCATTTTCCCAGGCTCTTTCCCTGCCCGAGTCCTGGAATCAGCCGTTTCTCCAAGGAGCCCGAGTACCGGTGCAGAATGCTTAGAAGCTAAGATCTGGGTTCTAGGTAAGAACATCACTTTGTAAACGTGTAAAATTTACTTCCAGAGTGATTGGTCAGCTTTGGAAGGATGTAGGGGGTCTTATAAAGAGCCGGGCATGCACCAGAGGCGAAGGATCCTGAACGAGGTGGAAAGTGAAGAGGAAACCAGCCCCCTGGCCTCCAATAATACACACCTGTCACACGGTTTCTGCTAATTGCTAAGATCCTTAGGCTTTTTCTCCCTCTAAGTCTAATCACATACTGTTCTCCAAGCCTCTGATAGCTCTTGACGTCTGCTGACCCGTGACTCAGTCACACATCAACCAGGTAGAATATTCCACAGACTTCACCTCTTGCCAATATCTGTGACCTTAAGTATCCATGGGCTCTGAGTGCAGGTGTGTAAACCACACACCTACAAAGGTCAGTCACGAACACAGGTGGCCGCCTGCGGCATGTCTGTGCCACCTCAGCAGACTGTTTGTAGAGTCTCTTTCTGCGCCTTGAGTCTGTGGTCTTGTTTTCCACGATGGTGACAGCTGGACTCAGGCCTCAGGGAACCGGGAGAGCCACTGAGTCAGCGGTGGCCGGATCAAGGCTGGTCGGACAGTTCCTTCTTTTCCTTAATGCCTTTGAGTGAGGTCAAGGGAAAGCAAAGCTTGGGATTTGACGGATTCAGGAAAGTTGTTGGCTTTCACTTGGCATCTGCATTCCGACTGCTTGAGGAATGCTATTTCCCCCCTAAACTTCTATCTCATTAATCTTGTGTTAAGAGTGTTCTAACCCTATTAGTGGGGTAGGCTGCTTCTGTTCCAATTAGCGTATGTTTCCGTAAGTGTTGAGTTGGGGAAGGGGGCGGAAGAGGCAGAATTTCTAAACTTTGACCTGGAGGGACTTGTACGAAGGTGTGTCTGACATGAGTGTAATACAACTGAAAAGGCTCCGGTAAATGGCAAGCTGTGGTCAGCTCTGATGATTTATGCTAAGCAGAATAAACTCTGATGGAAACATAAAATATTTCTAAGCTTACATTTTAGTCACTCAATACACAGAAAACGCATTTTTCTCCCTTAAAAATAGATATTTAGAGCACTGAGAGTCTCAAGAAGAAATCAGATTATTTACTATCTTTGTGGTCGCCCATGTTACACACTTCAAGTTTAAGAGTTGACAATGTTTTGATATTCTCAAATGAAAGGCACTGTATGATGCCCCGTTTAAATCCTATTACATTCAGGGACTCTCCTTTCCACGGACAATTGAAGGGGGGAAGGTTAGGACAAGGCTTCGATAGCCAAATTGTTTCATTGTTTAAATATCGTCAGGCTGGTTGCCTAACCAGAAAATGCAGACTTAAACCAAGGAAGCTTATTTTGCGAGCAGGCCTGTCACCATGTACAATATGTATTACCAGGAGGTAAACAGGAAGTGCTGAGCTGGCTTGGTTTACTCCTACAGGCACAGAGAGAAATAAAATCAGTGTTTACCAAATGGAAAAGCACAAAGTTGGTACAGGGAGAAATGCTATTTTCATGCTTCTAAAAAGGTATTACAAATAACAAAGTTTCGAACCTGTAATTAAAAACTATTTTAAAAATGCTTTGATTAGGTTCCCTTCAAAAATAGACATTCTTGGTTGAAATAAATTTCTTAAAGGTCTGACTTCCACTTAGGCTTGTTTCCCTAATCCATACCCTATAAACGTCCCTCTTAAATAAGACTTCAAGAGTAAAAAGTGTGCCTTTGAGTCATTTAGCAGAAGTTCAATGCTCCCACTTAATGGGTGGAGAATCCAAGGCCCCAAAGTTAAAGCAACTTATCAAATGCCACCTAGCCAGTTGGGGCAGGGAGAATTTATGATCCAAGTTACTCATGAAGCAAAAGTCATAGAAGAACTGAGTTTCTTAGTGCCAGGCCCAAGGACACAAACCTTGGGGTGAAGGGGTTAAATGCCTTGTTGGTGTAGTGTTGACCAGAAGCCAAAATCTTGGTCCTATGGGTCCAAAGCTACTGGACTCTTCCACCTTCAGAAAGGACAAGACCCTTTCCTCTTTTGATGTCAATGGCTTCAACGGAAAAGTGAGGTGATTTGCAGTTCTAATATTGTGAATCTGAGAAAAGAAAGGACTGAAAATGGTGATATGATCTAGGGAAGTAAAGAATAAACGAATAGGAATGAGGATAGATTATTTTGGGCAAGGGTAATTCATAATATTTAAACCTAGTAGGGTTGTCTGAGGTCAATTAAACTTTAATAACCCAGATTTCAGACCAACATCAACACTCAAACTAGGAATAGCCCAAGACAAGAATGGGCAAAGGACAAGATTAGGCGATTCAAAAAAGAACATCTGCGCATGGCCAATAAACACATGGAAATTGTTCAACCTCAACGGCATCCAAAAATGCAAATAAATTTTGCTTTAAACTGGAAAAAATAAAAAAGGGTAATGTTATCCAGTGTTGAGGAAGGCACAGAGGAACTGACTTTCAAACACTGCTGATGAGAATGCAAACTAGTAAAACCCAAACACAGGGCCTTTTGGGTATGTGTCAAATTTTTTAAATGAAGACTAACTTCGATTTAGCAATTCTGATTCTAGGAATTTACAGTAAAGGAAATAAACAGATTTCCACAACCAGTTCAGTGGATTACAAATGGGCACAAATTCTTTGCTGCCCTCCTCAGCTCCTCTTGGCTATGGTAGTTCCTCCGAGTTCCCCTGTTCCTTATCACCTGCACAGCTTGGAGCAGTACTGCTCAGGTATTTGGTAGAATGTCTCTCCATTGTGGCTTGTTTGTTGCTTTTCTCATGATTAGACTGAGATAACGGTTTTTGTAAGGTGGACCACAAAGACATTCGTGCATCATGTTAGGTAGGAGCATTTTGCTATTGTCTTTCTTTGGAGGCGCCCTAAATACAGGTACAAAGGGTAGACTGTGGTTGTTGGTACTGTGTCACCTTGGTGAGACTGAAACTACTTTTCCACGATCCCCTGACCTCTATGGTTGGGCAAAAGAAAAATCTGTGCAAGATTTGGGGATGGGGGTGAAGCAGTTATTTATTCATTGGGGTTGTGCAGACACAGAAGCCCTGGCAGTTCCAGCTTGTCCTCACCTTCCTCTGCTCTATATCCTCTTCCTGGCTGAAGACCCTGCTTACCCACAGTGGCTCCCACTCTCGACCAGCCACGTGGTAGACCCCAGGGTGGCAGGTACATGGACGCATGGCTTCCTACGGGCCTTCCTATGCAGCCT